GTGGAGGCCGGCGGGGGCGGGGGAGGAGCATGGGCCGGCGGGGGTGACGGCGGAGCCTCCGCGCGTTTGGACTTGCGCGCCTTCGGTGGTGATGAAGGCTGGGGCGACTGGGTTGCGGGAGTGGGTATATAGTCGTCCGTGCCGTCGTCCTGGACTTGCGCGATGGCTTCTTCGTAGCGCTTGCGCTTCTCGGTCTCGCGCTTGCGCTCTTCGTAGTGCTTGACGATGTCGGCGCGTGTCGGCAACTGCTTCTCCCGCAGACCGCCTTTCGAATGACATGTCAGCAGTACACGCATACGAGAGCTATTGCCACGCACCAACTGTCACCCACCACCTGATGGGCCCAAAGTTCACACCCCTACGCCCAACCTCGTCCGGCCGCACTACTTCTGGCTTCACGTTCTCCGGGAACCCGCCCTGCAAGAACTTCGCCACCCAGTCCCAGTCCCACGACGCGCCCCTTTTCCCCTCCCGGACCGGCTTGAGGTACTCCATGAACGCTGCGTTCGTCTTGTTGAATTTTTGGGCCGTGTTCTAGCGCGAGATCAGTAAATTAAACAAGTTGAGCGGTAAGTCGCGCACTATTTCGATCACCATGAACTTGAACACCGTCTTCACGACGGGGAGAGTGAGCGTAAAGCCGGCGACGTAGTTGTGCGCCAGCGAGAGGCGCGTCAGCGTCGCGGAGGGCAGCATGTCCTTGTCGGGAAAGGTATCCTGCCAAGTCGCGAGGGTGTCCTTGACGAGATCAGGCGTAATGATCTCGCCTAAAAGGCCAGAACCAGCAACCTTGACAGAAGCCTGAGGGACCGACATAGAAGCAATCGTAAGTCAGGCAGCGCAGCGGGTGAAGCAGATGATGGTGGGAGGAAAGAAAGAACAAGTCGCGCGGCGTTCCTCCGCCGGACACGCGCGGGCCGAGATTCTCCGCGATCACGTGAAATGTTCATCTCGGCCTTCTCCGGGCCATCACGCGCCCCCGGCGGACGCGCGACTTGTGTCTGGCCGTCATCCTGCTTGCCACTCATGGCTCCTCG